AACATAGGAAATAGGCATGCCTCCGTCTGGGGTCGACCCAGTTCCATGCCAAGGTGCATGGCTTGGAGAGCTAAGCACGGGACGGCTTTCAGCTCCCACTTGCCTCCCTTGGCTAGACCTTTTTGTGCAGTGCCCAACCTGCACAACTGCACAGGGGAGTGCTACTGCTTGGTTCTGGTGGCAGATCAAGTCGGGTTAGGGTGGTTTCTGTCTTGCTACCCAGCAGTTCACCCACTTGGTATTTTCACACACCACAGCCCCCAACCATATTTAATGCATTCACCTGCACACCCCACCATCCTCCCTCCTCTCTCAACTATGGTATGGGGCCACCTCCATCCTCTACGCCCAGCCATAAATGGAAAAAATGGGAGCAGGGATGTCATCATGGCTCCCCTAATCATCGAGACAGGTGGGGTAAGAAAGAGGAGACAGGACACTGGATGCCGGGAAAGGGCTCCAAGAAGCCAGCCTGTCACTCACCCTCAGTCGGCTGATGAACACGCCGGCGTCCTCCACCGAGAGCTTCCCCTGCTGGGTCATGATGCGCTGGATGGCCTTGAGGACATCGGCGGCCATGGTGACGTCCCCGCAGACGTAAATGTGGCCCCCTTGCTCCTTCAGGGCTCGGTACACGGGTTCCGCCAGCTGCTCCTGCAGGATATCCTGCACATACTTCTGTGGGGAGTGGGGAGAACCAGTGAAGAGGAGCCAGGCTGTGGGGTGCTCCTGTGTAGCTCACTCGCCCACAGGGAGCAGACCCTGACGGGGGAGCTTGTGGGCAGGTCGTGTAGCTCTCCAGGTGACCCCAGGGGCTGGGGAGTGTGCAATCAGGGAGGAAGTAAAGCCAACCTGAGGCTGGATGAATAAACTGCTTTCCACTTCTGCTGAGGACCCTCTAGGCAGCTGTGTAGAACACGCCCTAGAACCACCCTCTGGAGGAGCAAATGTGTGTGTGTGTGTGTGTGTGTGTGTGTGTGTGTGTGTGTGTGTTGCCCATGGGGTGTGAATGCCCTTACTCTTGTAGGAGCGGGGGTTTTTACTGCAGCTCCTATGCTGGAGTGACAGAGAAGCCCCCAGGCGACAGCAAGAGATGGGGCCGGGTGAGGAGCTGTCAGTTACCCCTGAGCAAAGCCAGCTGCTGCAGCAACAGCTGGAGTAAGCAGTGGGCTAAGAGACTAGGAACTAGGTACAGGGTGTCCAGTGAGACGAACAGCCTCCAGAGAATGTGTCTCGTTTGCTCCTGATGTCTTTAAGTTGTGCAGGAAACTCCCCCCAGGTGACGCTGACATTTGGCTGGTAAGTCCTGGCATGCCTGTTCTGGCTGTTAAAATCTTGCTGTGCTTCTATACCCATTGTAGAAATAGCCACTGCCCAGGCCTCCAGAGTGCTCCCTGCGCTGGTTGTCCTGGCCCCTTTCCTGGGACCGCCCCGCTGACCCAGACTCCCCAAGTTCCAGTAGAAACAGGCTCCAGTCCTATGGCCTGTGTCCATTCTGACTGGTAGGGCTTCTTATAGGCTGTTAAACAATTCTTTTCTAATTCACATTAAAAATATTTTTTTATTGTGCTAAAATGTACATAACATAAAATTTACCCTTTAACCATTTAAAAGTGTATGACTCACGGCATTAAGTGCATTCACCATGTTGTGCAACCATCATGTCTATCCAGTTCCAGAACCTTTTCCTCACCCCCACTGAAGCCTCGCACACCCAATGGCAGTCACTCCCCGCCCCTTCCCGCCCCACAATGCCTGGCAACCACAAATCTGCTTTCTGTCTCTATGGATTTGGCTGTTCAGGACATTTCATATAAGTGGCATCCTATACTATGGGCTGTTAAATATTTTAAATTGATATT